CTATCCTTTTTAACTAAGTATGACCGATCATACTTAGTTATAACAATAAAGTTGTTCTTTTTTTTCTTTCTCCTCAGACACTGTTGACTGAAGTGGCGGAGTTCTCTCTCCTCAGACACTATTGACTGACGTGGCGGAGAGAGAAAAAATAATTTCTATGTATGAATGGTCATACTTAGTTAAAAAGGAGTAGCTGTAGAGAACTTTATCTAAAGTGACTGTCGAAATATATATATATATATATATATATATATATATATATATATATATATATTAGAGGAGAGATATTCTAACTACAAAAATTTCTCACTACCAACTTACTACATATCTAATCACCATTAGATTAATATTTTCTCTCTCTTCAAAACTTTTTAACATTTTCTCTCTTTGATTCAATGGTGATGTGATGGGCAGTAAATTAGTAGTGAGAATTTTTGATAGTTAGAATATCCTCACTCTATATAGTATACTTAATACCATTTTAAACTTATTACCTGATTGATTACTGTTTGATTAATTTGAATTTAATGATTAAAAAATGAGAAAAATTAACTGCCGTGGGTTATTTATGTGCATGAATGAAGCTTCTCGTATAATACTACGATTATTTTAATTGTAACCACACATTATTTAGAATTTACCTATTGAGTTACACAAAAAATAAAATCAAATTTATTCATAATAATGGAGTTCGACTGATAAAATTTGGAGATTTGTCATATACCCATTTTTTTTAAGGATATTTGAATTTAATGTTGATTATTAAATATTTATTTATTATTTCTTAATTAGATATTTTATAAGTATTGTTCTGTAATCATTTTTTTTTAAATATTATTGCGACTACAATGTCATTTAAATAATTATTTTTTTAATGATTTTTTTTTTGAGATATTCCAATCGATTTATTGTTTCGGGACGGGTCCCAAAATTAAGGCTTTAAATTTAACTTGTATACTACTATACTTAATCTTGTTAAAAATAATTTATTAATTATTTATTATATTCAATAAATATTTAAACATTTATAATAATATCACTAACTAATAAATATTAAGAACTCCCCAAAGAGAACTAATAACTTCCAAAAAAATGTATCTATAAATAGTTGTGGACATCTATGAATTTATAATAGTACAGGTAGCATCATTGCGTCAAAAAACAATGACAGGAACGAATCTCAAAATTTTGTATAATTTTTCTTTTCTTGAGCATTGTATTTTTGGTTGGTGACCTTTATTTTAAGCTTACCTCTTCAGATACTAATAGCAGAACAAAAAAGGGTAATGATACAGCAACAGCCAACAGCATCCTATTCCATGACATTGATGATTCGTTGAAGTTTTATCATATTAAATTACCAAAAAAAAAAAAAAAAAAAAAGTAATGATAGAGATCGCTCTATGCCTACTATACTGATACCTATGTTGTCAACTCTTTATCAAATGATTATATTTAACAAATTATCAAATATCTAATCTAATCTAATTTATTTAATACTTTTAAAATATCTAATCTTTTAGAATATCATTTGTTTTAGAAATAGCTATTTTATTTTTCATTTAAAAACTTTCAAAAACATTAATTTTTTCAAAATTTTATTATTATCTCTTGATATTTTCATCAAGTGAATAAAATAAGAAATTATTAAAGTGAAATAATAAGTTAGTTAAACGTAATTAATTTTTTTAAAAGTTAGTGAAATTTTAATGGTTTCTTAATATTTATATAAAAATATTAAATAAATAATATTTTAAAATTAATGGAATTCTATTATATAAAGTAGACAAATATTAAAGAGTATCTTACGACCTATGTTGCACCGACGTCGACACGAAACACATGATATGACACGACATGATACTTTGACACGATAATTCTAAAAAATATTAAATTTTGACACGTTAGGACACGTTTTGATATATATAATATTTTTAATTTATGCAGTTTATATTATATTTAGTATTCAATAATTTAACAAAAAAATAAAGCTAAACTTATAGTACCCATCATTTTTGCAAAGAAACATAAGATATTCCAAATATTTATATTAAATTCAATAAAATCATAATCGTAATCTAACGAATCTAATAGTTAGAACTCAAAATGCAACGCAACATTACCTTTGAACCTTTTTTGAGTCCTTGCAACGAGTATTGGAGTGTCGGTAAGTGTCGGAATGTCGGTGAATGTCGAAAAGTGTCAGACACGACACGTCAGGATTTTTGAAATGTCGATGCTTCATCGCTTACGAGAGTCGTTAATAAAGTCCTATAAAAAAAGTTTTTTGTGTGGTTTGGGATAAAATAAGATTTTTATACGTGGGCCTTATGTCACTTGTTCTCTAAAATATTAAACTCATTTCATTCGTCAGACTATAGTTAATTTATCTCTTCATATAACTGATATACAATAATCACAGTCGACTACATATTTACCGATTACCTTAATGTGTACATATTTAATGATGTTCCATTTTTAAAATTTTTAAATTTTAAATTTAAATAAACTTCCTATCTTATCGTCTTTATTCACAAATGTATTTTGTTAAAAATATTCTTAAAATTATAAATAATATTTATTTATGTTATAATAAAAAAATTAATTATATATTTATATTTATCTGGAGTATGATATGTTATACATGTGAATGTTTGGATTGACTTTTTTCATAAAAATTTATTATTTTTACGTTTTTTCAAAAGAATTTTAAAAAATATTATTTTTCATAATTTATTGGTTACTCAGTCCAAACTTTATCAGTTAAATAAATTTTTAATGTAATCTTAAACAGAAAAATATTTTTGCCTACAGTTATTTGCATTTACTCCTAAAATAACATTGTTTTGGTGTTGAAATATTTAAAAGTTATAATTTTAAAATAAATTAAAATTATAAAAACACATTGATTCAGCCATTTTGGGCTCAATGCAGATAACTTATCTACAACTGCAGACAAAATAAACCCAATCTTAAAATTAAATTTGAAAACTTAAATTTTTTTATATTTTATTTTTTGAAAAAAAAAAGTCAAACAAACTTTTGTTTGTAATTTTTTATTTTTTGTTATAACTATAAGCATTGGAGTGTGAATGAAAGCCAAGAAAACCGGGTTTTGTTTAGTTTAGACCGAAATGTGAGCCATGAAATTCAACTATTTTCCTCAAAAAATGGAAGAGATTGTTTCTGTTCTCTACCATCCGAATTTTCTAACCGTGTCTCCTTTCCACACAGATTCTCCACTAACAAACCTTCTTCTCTTCTCTTCTTCCCTTTCTCCTTTTGTTATGCACCCTCACTTCTTCTTCTTCTACCTTCTTTGAGCCTTCTCTCTCTCTCTCTCTCTCTCTCTCTCTCTCTCTCTATACTTGTGTGTGTGTGTAGTTGCATTCTGAGCTCGTTGACTCTCTGTTGGGTCTGCTTGGCTTGTTGAGGATCTATTGGTAAGTGGGCTTTCTTTTTTTTTTTTTTTTTTTTTTTTTTTTTTTATGTTCTGTGTTTCCTATGTCATCTCTGTGTCTTTGTCTCTGGTGGGTTTCGGTTATTTCACGAAAAGAAAAATAAAATTTTTGGCTTTTTGCTGTAATTTTAATAAAAAACAATGTGCAATTAGAATTCCAAGTAAAAGTTTTGATTTTTGTTTTGTTTTGTTTAATTAGGTGAAAGTATTACTGAATTGGAACTGATGCAAAATGCGCGTTTGGTAATGGTTTCTCATTAAGTTTCCTAAGTTTTTTAGATTTAGTTATTTAGACTCTTACATTAAGTGCCAATGGTTAGGTATTGTGATAATTGTCATTTGTCAAAGTCAATGAAGCTTGAGTGAGAGAGATAGAGATTGTAAGCAAGCAAACAAGCTAGCCCATTGAGTTTTATGTGTTTTTAGAATTTGGGTTCTCCTTTTTTCTTTTTAATGGAAACTTTTTGGTTGATTCATAATAATCAATTGATGTCCTTCCTTCCTTCCTTCCTCTTTTCTTTTGTTTTGGGGGGGGGGGGGCTTGGTGAGAAGGACTAGCCTAAAGAAACTCCTGGAATCTTTACCTTGAAAAGAATTTGGTCTTTTTTTGTTGGAGAGATGTTTGGCATTCAGCTGCTTGGCCTTTTTTAATGATATTTTGCTAATAGGTGTTTAAACGTAGTGTCTTCAATGTTAAAGGCTATGGTGATTGGCATGTACCTTCTTTTCACTGTTAAGACTAAGGGGATTGCCATGTATCTTCTTTTCTTCTAGAGTTCTCTTATGTTGGTTTAGGAGGATATCTAATCGGCTATGCTTTTGTTACTTTCATTATAACCTTCCCCCTCCCTACAAGAATAAGAAAGAAGGAATTTTGGCAAAGAACCTATTCTTAAATAGTGTAGCTTAGTTGAACTAGTCTAGAAGGAAAAGCCATTATATGCAAATATTGACAGAGATGATCTATGAGGTTGAATATGTGTATCCTACAATGTTGATATTGAAGCTAATATTATTTGACACTTCAATTTTTATTTTAAAGAATTTCTTTTCCCATTCAAATTATTATAAATAATTTGTGCTATCATCATGATTTAGATCATGACATTGTTTTCCTTGTCGTATGTTATGAACCTTCCTTATATTCTAACACTTGAGATACTCTTAGGTGGGCCTCAGAATATAAGATGTTCTATCCTAGGATAGTTTTAAAGAACAAAAATATAAATATCTCAAGACCTCTTATTAAAATGCTAGACACTCATTTGTGCAATTTTATAATTTCCCCTTCAAATATGTTATCTTATCATACATTTAAGCCAACACTGATACTGTGAAATTTTCAGCCAAATGTCTATAAGTTTTAAGTCTATCATGTTTGATTCGAGCCATCCATTCCAATGCTCGAAAATTTCACTTCCAATTGGCTATATTGTTTGAATGCCATTTGGTTTTCTTCTAAAAGTGAGTAAACAAGGGTGTGCTGATAGTTTTACTGTAACTTCTCAGGAAGTGTGCGAGTGAGGAAAAAGCACACTGAAAAGTCTCGTGTTAGTATGTGGGGATAGTCATTGATTCTTGAAGCGGCCGGGCGTTACAAGTGGTATCAAAGCAGGGCCTCTCTCCCAGTACGGTGTGGTTCGAGGACGAACCAGGCGGAAGCTGGTGGGCATGTAACATCCCAAGCGCTGACGAGGGCTGGAAGTGATCGCCGGTGCAAAGAGGCACGGACAAGGAGCGGCTCCTGACAGGCTTCCAGTGGGGGGTTACATGAATGAATTGAATCGACACCCGAAAGAGAGAAATTCCAAAGACTGTGCAGGTATGAGACTGCACAGTTTGGGATAGCTTATAAGAATTAATTGGTACTACCTATACTAACAAGTTGCATCTACTTTTCGGTAGCCCGGAACGGAAGAACTCCATAGTTAAGCGTGCTTGACTTGGGGCAATTCTGGGATGGGTGACCTCCTGGGAAGTTCTCCCAGGAAGTGTGTGAGTGAGGACAAAGCATGCTGAAAAGTATCGTGTTAGTGTGTGGGGACAGTCGTTGATTCTTGCAAGTTGTCAGGTGTTACAAGTGGTATCAGAGCAGCGCCTCTCATCCAGTACGGTGTGGTTCGAGGACGAACTAGGCGGAAACTAGTGGGCATGTAACATCCCGGGCGCTGACTAGGGCAGGGAGTGATTGCTGGTGCGCAAGGGCACGAACAAGGAGCTGCTCCTGGCAGGCTTCTAGCGACGGGGGTACACGAATGAATCGAATCAACACCCGAAAGAGAGGGATTCCAGAGACTGTGCTAGTATGGGACGGTATAGTTGAGAATAGATTATAAGAATTAATTGGTACTACCTATACTAACAAGATACATCTGCTTTTCGGTAGCCCGGTACGGAAGAACTCCACAGTTAAGCGTGCTTGACTTGGAGCAATTCTGGGATGGGTGACCTCCTGGGAAGTTTTCGCGGGAAGTGTACGAGTGAGGAAAAAGCACACTGAAAAGTCTCGTGTTAGTATGTGGGGATAGCCATTGATTCTTGAAGCGGTCGGGCGTTACATTTACGATATTAAGCTATATCCGCGGTCGGGCGTTACATTTACGATATTAAGCTATATCTATATCCCCACACTCTCTGTCTGCCCCCCTTCTCTATTTCTATCTTTCAGTATTCTGTTTTACACTTGTGTACTAACACATGCAAACATTTGGACGCACACATTTTAGATACTTGCATGTATTAACTGACAAAATTGGTTCTGTTATCGCACTTCATAGCTAATTTGTTTTAGTATTGTAATCATTTCTTTGTTTGTTGAGCTGATGTTTGCTGCCTCTGTATGTGGTGCAGGCTCTAAAGTTTATTGAATGAACCTTGTTGTTGGGGGCTTGGGGCATTATTAAGTATATGAGTTTTGCCTTTCCACAATCTGGAAAATCTTTCATTCAAGTATTCTATATGATAAAATGGCCATTATCTAGTAGATAATTTTTTATAAATATATATTGATTATAACTCAGAGGACAAACCTGGAGCAGTGATAAAGCTGCTCCATGGTGACTGAGAGGTCACGGTTTTGAATCCATGAAATAGCCTATTTGCAAAAATGAAAGGGTAAAACTGTGTATAAGGATTTGACTCACGGCCCTCACCCCTATTCTTAGAAGTTGGTTTTCATGGGAAGTGATTTTTTATATATTGATTAAATATATTTTGGTACAGTTCAATTACATTTCATATGTTGCTGAAAGTTCTCATTTAGACATATTTACCAGTGATATTGACAGTATTGGGAATGGATTTTTTAAACCAGGAGATGAGCATGCTTAGTCCTGAAGGTGAACTTAAAATTAGTTTTGGATATCAATGCAATAGTGATGGAGCTATCCCTTGCAAGGTTGCCAATGGCTACACAATCCTTCCTGAAGTACGTAGAACAAGCAGTTTTTCTTGCTTGTCTGGTGCTGCCGTAAGTGCAAATGCTACACTAGCCAACACAAATATCTGCAATGGAGTGATAGGAGAAGAAATCCTTCCTAGTTTGGACTCTCCTAATTCTTTTCGTAGGGTACCCTCTTCGCCAAGTTTTCCGAAGTTGGACATACTATCATCTTCTCTTCACAGTAATATGTCAAACCTCAGTTGCAGCCCATCCACTCCAAGTAGTATGCTTGAATATGACCCATGTACATTAAAATCCACGAGTGCTCCTTCCAGAAGTGAAAGTTTTCTTAATGCTATGGAAGTACAAGTAGCAGGAGGAGCTGCTGGTGAAGATAGAGTTCAAGCAGTTTGTTCTGAGGAAAATGGGTGGCTCTTCTGTGCAATTTATGATGGCTTTAATGGGAGAGATGCAGCTGACTTCCTGGCTGGTACCCTTTATGACACTTTCATATCTTATTTTAATATGTTATGTTGGGATTTGGAATCAGATTCCACCAAAGCTTCTAACAATGTGGGTTTGGGTGGATCCTTTCAATACAAGTTGGATGATGGTCTTATTCTTCATGAGCATCAATCTTCGTCAAGATTTGAGGGAGACAACAATTCTAGTCTGAACATTAGTCCACCTGCCAAGTCAGAAACATCATGTAAATCATTTTCGCATGCGGTACTTGATAGCCTCCAACATGTGCTTAGTCAGGTTGAGAATGATTTCTTGTACATGGTCGAGCAGGAAATGGAGGAACGTCCAGATTTAGTTTCTGTTGGATCTTGTGTTTTGCTTGTGCTTCTTCATGGGAATGATTTGTATACACTTAATCTAGGGGACAGCAGAGCAGTATTGGCAACATGTGGCACAGATGACAGACTGAATGGGATTGAGAGCTTGAAAGCTATCCAGCTTACAGATAGTCATACCCTTGACAATGAAGCTGAAAGAGCTCAACTTCTAGCCAATCATCCTGATGATCCTAAAACCATTGTAGCAGGGAGAGTGAAAGGAAAACTGAAGGTTACGCGTGCTTTGGGAGTTGGCTACTTGAAAAAGGTTGGTATTCTTTTTTATATTTTAACCTATAAGTTTCCTAAAGATTTGGCATAGTTAAGAAAAAAAGGTAATTATTATAAACCTATACTGATATCCAAGCTACTAATGGTGAGTGGATGGAAGTGTTATGCATTTTCTGAGTTTGATGGTTTATAAACCCAATTATTGCAAAGAGAAAAATATTTGTGTTGCCAAACAAATAGACTTGAATTGTTTCTTTTGCCCCATGCAGAAAAATCTTAATGATGCTTTGATGGGAATCCTTCGAGTTTCTGATCTTAAAAGCCCGCCATATATTTCAACTGATCCATCACTGAATGTGCATAGAATCTCAAATTCTGATCGATTTGTTATAATCGGGAGTGATGGTTTATTTGACTTCTTCAGCAATGATGAAGCAGTGAAGCTTGTAGAGTCTTATATGTTGAACAACCCTTTTGGTGATCCAGCAAAGTTTCTTGTTGAACAACTAGTAGCAAGAGCAGCTGATTCTGCAGGTCATTTTTCAAGATCTCATGCTAAATTTAATTTTATTTGCATGAATATAAATTTGATGGTTGTTTCATTATGTGTTACTTAAGTGATTCTCTTGCAGGTTTCAGCATGGAAGAGTTGATGAATATTCCTGCTGGTAGGAGGAGAAAGTACCATGATGATGTAACCGTAATTGTGATCATTCTAGGGATGAATCAACGTACTTCAAAGGCATCAATTTGCATCTAAAGATTGACCAAAGAAAATTTGCATATGAAGCTTTTAAGTGGACACCTTGGTCAAGTAGTATTCTATAGTTTTAAAGTTATGATAGTCAAAGTGTACATATGACATTTTAGAACTAAGAACCATTAAGTTCCTTTGGTATTTAAGAATTTTATTTGAACACAAGAAATGTAGAAAATGCATTTGTTATGGTCTTGATGTATCTTATTGGCAACATTTGCCATCGCATACACTGTTAGATGTTTTCCTTGTATATAATATATATCAATGAAATTTAGCTTTTATAATGTGAAATATAGATAAACTACTCTATACTTTATTTGCAAGTAAAATACATTATAATGGGAATTAAAATATTTCAATAAAGAATATAATTGTTACTTTAAATACTTTTATTACGAGTTGATCTACTTTATGTTTGAATTGCGAAAGGAGCTAGAAGAAGTACATGAAAAGATGTAGAAGAATCTAAATTTAAGCATGAAAAAGAAAGTGCTTCACTTTTTGCCTTTTAGAGCTTACGTGGGTCGTATAAATATAATTTCCAGGTTTTGCAACGTTCTTTTTATAGTTATTGCCGGGAAATGATGAAATATTTTTAAGCTTACTTTATCTTAAAAGTTTCAATGGAATTTTATTTGGTTAATAAAATTCTTACGAGACAAAATTTATATTTAAGTAATTAATGTCTTTACGTAGCCCCACCATCTTCAAAAGTGTGAAGTATTATAAAATTCTTCCATGAAAGTATATGAATTTTCAATTTTACATACTTTTTAATTAGTTTCGGATAAGTATAACCCTTAAATGTTATTTTTCTGTGGAGCTGTTCTTTTTCACTTTAATGAAAGCTTGTTTATTTCTCTAAGCATAATTTTTTTTTTTTTTTTTTAAATCTTCTTGGGCTTCAGGTTTCTGATTGATGATGGTCTTCTTCCTTTAGTAACTTTACACTTTATTTCATAGATATTCATAATGGTTGAGGTACGCAAGCAGATTGACTCACGTGGGCATGGTAGTTAAAAACTAGTTTTAAAATTGTGTTTTTATGTTTTTACAAAAAAAATTCATAAAAAAAATTTCATCAATATTTCAAATGCTTTTACTTTTTTTATGATTTTTTATTACAATTTTATGTTTTATAATTTTTTATCCCTCTTCCGTTTTTAAATAAAAACTCTGGGTGCTTTAACAAAACGAAATATGCAAAGAACATAAAAGTTGGACTCAAGCGTCATCATTATAGAAATATGAATTTGTATCCTAATAATTGTAAGACCCGACAATGTAACTTTTACTCGAATTTAGAAATTATTCAATGATAGGGGTATGATATTTATGAAAAAGAGTTGTATAGCATCACTATAATTGCATGAATTATTAAAGTATTAAATCAATTTTACACTAATTTTAGGATTTTCTTTCAATTCATTAATCCTAATGTATAGAATATATGCATGTATTGAGCTAAGATTCAATTGTAGTATTACTTTACATTGATGATGGTGAATCCATGTCTTTTTATTTTATTTCTTTTATTTGTGGTGAATCTTTTTTTTTTTTTAATATTTCTACTAATTTATTCATCCTTTAGGACTAAATTGATTGAGGGTTGAAAGTAGTTAATCACTCTTTCTCTTAACAGATGTGCTTCTCAGGTCTCGAACTTGCATTCTTCACTTTAGAAGGACCTTAAGCTGCTATCACTCGACCAACATCTTGTTAGTGAATCCATGTTTTAAACTGTGGGAGAAATCACTACAAGAACAACCAACTTCTTCTTTTGTTTTTTTAATGGGAACAACACACTATTTGTTAGAATTATGTATTTGTGAAATTCAAATTCTCTATATCCTCTTACTGTTCCCAATTTAACTGTTACCCCTTCTAAAATTAATGTATATGTAAATGGGTATGTGTTTAGCACTAGACCCCTGATTTGAATTCGTGAGTATTGTGATAAAAGAAATTACCCTCCTCTCAAATATATTTTCTTTGTAGCTTAACTGAAGCAATCATACTTCAAACAAACTGTAGAAGATAAGGGTCACTCCTGGTGCATAAGTGCATGTTTGGTGCATAGTATAAGATAAGGTCTGATAGTATAAGACCTGATAGTATAAGGTCTGATTGTATAAGACTTGATTGAATTTTGATACTATCCAACGTTTGACATGATATTGTATAAAATAATATATTGTATAAAGATAATATTATCTAATATTTGATAATGCACTGCATAATACTATACAAGATAAAAATAAATATTTTCAATAAAAATATTCTTTAATAAAGAATTTATATAATTCTTCAAAAAATGTCATATGATACTAATTTTTATAAAAATTTATTGACCAGTGTGTCCAAAACATAAATATTTTTATAAAAATAAAAATATTCAATATTTTAAAAATTAATATATTGAAAAATTAATTTTTATTTTAATATATTAAAATAGTATATTAATTTTTTAGAATTGCACTGGTCAACGATGTTAATACACTAATCTCTTATCTGGCATAATCCCTTCCTCTTAGGCCAGATTAAGTTATACATCGTTTTGATGTATTAAGGAATTCTGCTGTATAAGCTTATACTATACGATGGTCACACCAAACAGCTGAAAATATCATAACATATAGTATAAGCTTATACTATCATGCCTTATACGTGAAAAACTCATATACAAGGCCCATGCTTATATAAAATTTGTATGAAGCCCAATAACCAAAAATATCATTATTTAGCTTAAAAAATAATATACTTTAAACATATACTTTAACATGTAATTAATGGATTTTTATAATATTATTTCTTAGTGTCAAAGTAGGAGAATGATAAATTATTATATTGTGGACTAACATAAAACAAAAATTCTTTGTTCCTTTTAAGTTTAAATTTCGAGTCATCCTTATTATTTCTCATATATAATTTTTTTTTAAATTTAATTACGTATGAATCTATTAGTGTTAGTTTCAGCTATACCCATTTACGAATAAGTAAGTATTTTATTAGATTCCTCATCCCTCCGAAGGTCAGTCAAATTTTCAGGGAATATAAGCATATAAGAATGATGTTCTAATATGGTACCTTTGATCCATTTAAATATGAACTTCACTTCATAGTCACAAAAAGTGGCTCTTTGGTAACATTGACTTAAAGATTAGGCTTACATGCATGAGAATAAGACATTACTAGCTTATATATTGGATTATAGAACGTAATAAAATATCTGACACATACTACCCCAAAGAGGTGGCCTTAAAATCATATTAGGCTACCAAAAAGTAGCCTTCAGCCCTTCACAATGAAAAATTGTTACCATAATACTTAAATAGCGCATTGTTCTAACATGAAGGCTAGGAAAATATTAATACTCAAATAGAGTTCTGTTCTAATAGGATGGATAATACTTGGTGGATAACTACTCAAGACTTAACGATACTCACATGATGTGTATCAAGATTAACTTATTTTATATTTAAAATAATTTATAATTAAAATTTTCTTAAAAGAACTTTTTTTTACTAAAAAAGTATTTTTTATTTAAAATTATTAAAACGAAACATACACTTAGAATATAGGAATATAAAAAAATGAGATGAAAGTAACTATAATTATATGATAACAAATTCTATAGATGCAAAATCACATGTCTGAGTGTGCAGCATTATTCTAATTGGAAACATCCATTCATCATTCTCTAACTTGCTGTTTTTTTTTTTTTGGTGGACAAACTTGCTGCTTTTATTTAACCACGTAATTTGTCTTCAAGGATACCCCATTATGTGTCAAGTTATGCTATTGAACAAAGAATAATGATTTTTTTTTTTAAAAAAAAAACAAATTAAGAGAAAACATGAGTCCCTTTGTGAAAAAAAAAATTTATTATTTGATTTTGTTTATAAGTTTATAAAAGAGAGGGGACTATTTTTAGCAAGTTCAGTTTTTAGAGCTAATTGTATGAATAAATTTTAGGTGCATCTGTTGCACTTAGATTCAATGCATCCCACCAATGGAAGCATTACATATCAGCGGAGAAAGTAATAATTTGGCAGAGGAAAAATAATTTTGGCTGACATATAATATTTCTATGGGAAATGTTATAATTACTACCTATTTTTTTTACTACCTCTTACTACTAAATCTTAACCGTTGATTTTCGTCAATCTAACGGTTATAATTTATTGCAAATTAATAATTATTGATAAATATGACCCCATAAATTATAATCGTTAGATTGACGAAAATCAACAGTTAAGATTTGGTAGTGATATGTAGTAAAAAAATAGGTAGTAAGTATAAACTCTCCCTATTTTTATTAGTAAGATGTACTGAATCTTTGGTACAATAGTAACATCAAAAATTTATTCCTCTTATGTATGTTCCTCAAAAAATCCTATTCATGCTGATTTTCCCACCAATGTATGAGATAAATTCTCACTTGAATGTGACATAGCCCTGACCATAGGAAAAGAGTGTTTCCCATAAATCTCAACTTTTGCAATGCAAATGAAGTCCAGCCACGTGTACATGTCCCAAAAACCTGCAACCAAACTTGGCATAAATCACGGCTTAGCCAGTGACCACCCCATAAGTGTCCTCGTAGTTGGAGTAAATGGAACTCCTAATGTTGAAAATTATGCGGTCCTAAGTCCTAACTCCCAAACAAGACTAAAATTTGTTCCATAATGTTTGTTTTAGCAGTTTCTGCATTTACATTTCCTACCTCAAAAAGTGTGCTACAAATTAGACCCTCCACTTCCTAGCATATGGCCTTTTTAGGACAGCATGAACCAAAGATTCTTCTTCCAAGTTACATAATTTGGATTCAGTTTCCAAAATCTTTTAACTATCTGACATTTGTTGTCCCGCGCTAATCTATTTGTTTTTTTTCTTCATTTTCTCTTGTCTAGATTAACTTGAGATTTACCCATTTACTAAATGAGCATAGATTTTATATATGAGATTCCCTATCCCTCCATAATATGAGCCCATAACAATGACGATGATATGAACTTTTTCTTGTTATCATCAGAGAATCTCCTCCTCCTAAAACTGAATACATAATCTACATATGAATATCAAAGGTGCCACATTAAACCAGGATTTACAATTTGATCCAGAATCTAACAAAGCTAAAATTGAACATTTCAGCTTTGAGGTGCCTCAAGTGCAAAACCAGCAAATCTAAGTAGAGAACAATGTATATGTCATGTGCTCAGTTTCCCTTTGTTACAAAATTACCATTGTAAAACTACCTAGGACCACAAAAAAAAAACAAAAACAAAAACAAAAAACTGTAGTGCAACATTCTCTTCACTTTCAAGCCCTCACATTATGGAACACCCATTAGCATTTTCATCACTAAAGATCTCAAAGGAAACCAACGGTGTTGATTGAAATTGATAACTATCTTGGTCTAGGCCTGCACACATGCAAGGTGAAGGTGGAGGAACATAGTAAGAAGGACCCACGTTTCTTCCCATAGTTGCAACATAAACCATTGGAGGATAACCAGTTTCTAAGTAAGAGTATGATTGCTGACGTGTAGGGTTGAGATTCATTTGGCCCATTTGCTGGCCCACAACCTGACCAAGATTCTGGAACTGGAATCCAGTGTGGGCAAGTGCACTGGTGGATTCTGAACTCAAACCATTGCTTCCATTGCCACCACCCTGAGCTTTCTTTTTCTTCTTCTTACCGGTACCCTCTACACCACCTTCGCTCTGACAACCCTTGCGGTCCTCCGGTGGAACCTGGTTGCCGGCCTGAGACTTTTTCGGCGGGTTGTTGTCGCCGGTTTTTGACTTGCTGCTCTTGCTTTCTCCTTTACAATTGCCAACATTCTCAGTTCCCTTGTTTTCCAAGCTTTCAGGGTCTCTTTGTCCGTTCCTCTTCTTCTTTGAGCTTTTCCCCTTCCCGTCGACATTTTCCGGCCAAATCTCGGCGTGTTTCCCGGCTCTGACTAGTTTCCTGAGAAGGGTCTCAACACCAACACTTCTGGTGACTGTTACTTTATGCTGTTGTGGGTCTATTGTTGTAGTGAAAACACCTGCAAAGTGCAAGATTTTCTTAAATGTTACCAAAAAAAAAAGTGCAACCAACATTTTTTGCTGGCTGAGAATATGAGAAGAAAAGAAGGGAAAGGAAAGGAAAATAACAATGCAATTAATATAGTCATGCATGGAATGAGAAGAAAGAAGAAAGCCATATAAAAACTTGGTATGCAAAAAGAGTTGAAATTTGAAGCCAGTTTCCACTTCTAACATAGTACCGTCAATGTTCTTTAGAACTTTCTTTACTTTCCTCCTGCAACCTTCACAGTGGATATAAATTTTCAAGAACCAAGTCTGAGAAGAACAGAAGAAGAACAACAACAAGTTTTAGTGCATAAAAAGAAGATAAATCTTGAAGAGGTCAAAGAACCAAAAAAAATATATATGTATGTCTTTTATCTTAAAATAATAGGATATGATTCATGAGTTGAAGAAATTGAGAGAACCAATTAAGGTAATTTGTTTACTACCTTATACTTCAAAGGCTCTGAAGCAACTTCAGCAGTTTTTGCATCCATTACAGAGAGGGAAGTGGAAGTGCTTCCTTTGAGAATGTGAATTGAAGGGATTGGAAACTTTTGAGAGCAGAGAAAGAAGTGAATGTGGGGTATTAAAAAAAAAAAAAAAAAGGGAAAATGCCAAGAATGTACTTGGTGGCATGCACTCTGTTAGGGAGGCAAAGTGTGCAGGCAAAGATGGATGGTTATCAAAGTATAATGTGACAACGACAGAAGGACACACTGCCTCTGCTGCATTTTTCTTCCCATTGAACATGTTTCTTCCTTCTTCTATCTTGCATTTTTTATTTAATCACTAATTGATTGTTCAAAACATGTAATGCTCAATTTTAAAAAAGAAAAGTAGGATACTAGGGAAAATAGTGATATTACTTTATCTTCATAGGCAATCAATTTCTTTATCTATCTTCTCCATGTTTTCTTGTCTCTTATAAATGTACAAGTCTTTTGTTTCATTTGCAAGTTATTAGTTTGTTCTTGGAGGAAGCTATTTGTTATTCTTCTAGATAAGATTCTTTATTGTAAATTCTATCAAATTTATGAGAAATATTTGCATGATCCAGGCTCATGAAATGTATAAATGATCTCTCTCACATATAAAGGATAGAAAAGAAAAACCAAAGAAAAAGTAAAGATAAAATGGTCGAAACATTTTTTTGACTGTGAGTGAGACCAGAGAAAGTTAACATGTGCCGGGATCATGTTAACTTTTTGTCATATTTATCATGGATAATAGTACCTTTGTTCAAGATTTTAGAATTTATAGTTCTCATATCATATATATGTATGTCTACATAAGTCAATCGAGTATATAAAAGAAACAAATATATATATATATAAAAAGAAAAGACTATTTTTAAAGTGTTCTACTGTACACGTCAATCAAGAATATATAAAAAACACTCTCCTATTTTTTTATTTTATTTTTTTTTACTAAACTATTTTGACATTTCATTTTTAAAAATAGACTTTTGTTCCCTTTTTTCTAGGAGGCATGAGGGAACCGATAGATAATGTAGGACAAGGTAAAAAGAGCCAAAACTGTTGTCCCACAAAAAAAGCCAAAAACTCTGGGTAAAGAGGAAGGGAAGAACCCTACATAACAATTAAGCAAAACTAAAAGGGACCCTTGAATGCTTCTGGTTGAAAAAAAAAACTCCATTTTACCCGCTTCACCGAATTTACTGCCAAGAAAAGAAAGGACTAGTCGTTCTGAAGTAATCAATGAAGGGAAGTGTGACTGCAGCAAAATCTAGGGTAGAAAATGTCCAATTTAAACTTGACCTGTTTTAGCCACTGCAATATGACCAAATTTAACATAATCCCTTGAACATTGGTTAAAGTGCTCTTCCATATCTAGTGTCTGCATGCCACATCAAAAGCTTCCCACTAGGAAATTCGTCATGTCATGTATTTTCACTTGTCAATGGAGAAAATCTTTGGTATATCAAATATATGTACATCTAATAGGAAATTTTTTGAGATTTAATGGGAAAAATAAAGAAAAATAATGATTTAAATGGAAAAATAATTTCCTCATTTGATAAAAAGATGTACCCAAATAAATACATTCGATGTTTCAAAAAAAAAATTCACTAGAATGACATTGAAAAAATACAACCTTCAAGAAATTCATTTGCACACAATTCAGGTTAAGAGTTGATAATCTCTAGTTTGAAAACAAACACTCTAAATCTAAAAATGTTTACCAAACCAGAGATATTTGTGATTGATAGTTCTGTTTTAGTAAATATTGCTACGATTACTTTCATATTCTTGAAAAAAAATATTCTATTATTAAGGTTGTGATTACAGATTGGGGACCATATATGTTCTTAACGGTATACAATCTTTAAGAAATATATATCCGCTGAAGTTTTATGTCGGGTAAAGATACATCAATGATTTTACGGTAGAAAATCATTATTATCATTGATTTTAGGTACATAAATGATTTTATTATATATTAGGTGGGTCCGAGAGAATTTATGGTAGGAAATCATTACTAATCAAAACAAATTAACCCAACCATAATAAATAATAGGTTTGACGTTAAGTTTCAAATCAAAATCCCATTTATATTTTAATTATGTCATAACCCAACCATTTTTAGGTTAGGGGAAACTCATGGTATGAGATCACCAATCACAGTAAAAGGACCTGATGTCATATTTTAATTCAAAATTTTAAAATATTGGATTTATTAATTTTTTTATTTATATAATTTTTTTTAATTCATTATTAATTTATATGAAATTCCATCACAGTTCAATATCCCAATAATATATATGTTTTTAAGCAAAAATTCTCATATTTTAAAGGAAAAATATTTTCTTCTACTAATGACTCATAACATAAATAGAGTCTACAAAATAATGAAGAAGAAAAATATAAAGTAAAACTCACTTATACTATGAGTAAGTAAGAGAAGAAAATTTCTCCTTTTTAGAAAATGATTGCCCTATTTTAACTATGAGCAAGAATATAAGGAGTCTCACATGGAGCATGGGCTCATCTATTAAGGATTTTTACTGATATGGACTTTTTTCTCCTCAAAATATAATTCCAATTATAGAGGGAGAGATTTGTGATAGATTCGAACCTTCATGTCATCATTATTTAAAAATAAAATAAAAAAAATAAGCAATAAATTAACTAAATTTACATCATAAATCAAGCCTGTGAAACATTTACTGCAATGAGTGAATGACTTTGGAATCTAAGACACCTAATCCCACGTATATCCATGAATCAACCATTACTCCAAAGGTCAGGTAGTACAATGGGAGCAGAGTTTTTACCGCGGTGAAAATTAGAGAATGGACAAAGACGAGACAAAAAGTAACAGTCCAAACAACACCATTTCCCATCCAAAACCGCACTTTTCCAAAGCATAGTATGAGGTAAGCTTGTTAAGATCTTATAATGGTAAATATGGTAGGTAAACTGAATAAATCAGCCATCATCAAGAGTGTCAAGACCTTTCGGCACAAGCTAACATGCACTCAAATTTTGCAAGCAAAAAACTACAATTTCACTGACGAGAGGAAATTCATTACCAAAATTCTTAAAGAGGTAGGATCATTTGACACCAGTGTCAAATTTGAAGTTTGACACCTCATATGAGAGTCATTAGATCATAAAAGATCAATGGTGTCACATGCTTACAAATCAGAGCCATTGATCTTTTTTGATCTAATGGCTATCAGATGAGGTGTCAAAGGATCCTGCCTCATTCTTAAAATAATATAAGAACTCACCTTATTTCTTTCTTGGGCTGAAAGATCTGCGTCAAAATAAATTATTAGGAGTGTCTCCAAGGTATATTAAATGGCATGTAGACCTACCCCTGCACTAACGTCACTCCGCACAACCCAACAAGCAATGGTTGGTTGAACATTAAATCCAAATTAAATGTTTTAACTTTTAATATGTAATATTTTAGTAACAATTATGACGTTGTAGGTATTCTGGAATTTCAGCATCTTTAATTATGGATAATCTCGTATTGAGGAAAAATGTGGGTCTAGGGCCAATTAGAAATTAGGACCCAGAAAGAATATGCACAGTGAGAGATGTAAGAATATCTCTATATCATGAGAAAACTTTCAATGCAACAGTCATAGGTACATCTATGTTAAAAGGGAAAAAAAAATATGGGCTTAAAATGAATTATAAAAAAAAATATGACTGTAAAAATGAAAAAAAAAATTCTCCGGAAGTACCGAACTCGATACTCTTGTAGCATTAAATTTTTTTCCCTATATCAGATTTTATACTCTCGGGGCTGTGAAATTTATTACCAATATAACTAATGTCATAGTTATATGAGCATATCCAAGAGACAATCTACATAAACTTACTTGTGTACAACATAATCACAGCTTCATATAAGTAACTACTAGCACTATGTACACACACCATTCTTCTCATAGTCTCTATTTTTGTGTATCCTTTCTATATTGCACTGAAAGACATTGTTTTATAAGGTAAGGATCAATCAAGCAAAATAACACTTTCAATTTGTTTTAGATATTTAATTTGTAATTGTAATCTATGTGCTAAACTGATACTTCACTGAAAGTTTTCATGGATAAAGTTGCTTTTATAATGAATAATCAAACAATGTTGAGGTTCGCCCAAACAAATCATCTCTAGCCTAAGTAAAAATGCTAATAATCATTTGTTAGTAGAGATAAAACTCACTTCAATGATCTCTACATTTCGATTGAGATTAGTCTTCGGCTGTTGATTGGGGATACTCTTGAAGAAACTCAAAATGCTGATAATCCAAATTTAGCGTTAGATATTAGATAGCACCTGAAATTAGTTATGCTTCAATAATTATGATTTGTTTTGTCCTGACAAAGTTGCACAATCAACCTCAATGAAGAGTCGAGCAAGCTCATTTGCAAAACCTCGTATCCATGCACAAGGATTAAAAAATAAAATGTAAAATTATCAACTTGACTTGTACTCAATAACCATCATAAAGTCCTAGGAAGTAAGAAGGCACAATAGAAAGGTACAAAGGTGGACAGTTAGAATGTTTTTTTGGTGCATCATATGCATCATACATCTATCCAAAAAAATAAATAAATTTGAGATTTGATGAAAAGTACTTAAAAAGAAGTGAATCAAATGAGAAGAAAACTTTCTCTTTTTAAAAAAAAAATATACCCAACAAAAGAAATTTCTGGTCAGGAGAGGTAGAAAAAAGAAATAATATTGTGAATGACCAGTTGGTAACAGGAGAATGCTTTATTAGTTGTGACTTGTGAACTCTATGAGACAACTCAGCCACGAACAATTACTTCGGGTTGGTTAAATACGTTCCCTATAAAAGTAAATGAAAACATAACACAAGAGAAGGGTAAAGGCATAATTTTCCACCGATTGATTCGATTCCTATGTTGTAAGCACCCTAATTTAGTTTAGGGGTTTAATTTGTCATCTTGCATGAGAATTAAATTCTTATATTATGACTAAATTAGTAATGGACTCCATATTTATTTATTTTTTTAAAAAACTTTACACACAAATTAAAAAATCACAACAATTGAATTCTCATACAATATGAGAATTGAATTATCATACAACATAAGAAAATAATTTTTCTTTAGTTTAAATACTTAAATTTTTTTTAGGAGTTGCCATTTACATACACAAGCTTTTTTCAGAAGTTATTTGAATATTTTGTGTTAATTTGAATTTTAATAAATGGCATTTTTACTCTTATGTTTGCAATTTAGTTTTTATCTTTATCAATATACATTATTTTTTTGGAAAAAAAATATTTAAAAAATTACACAACAAAAGTAAAGTAACCATTTTAAATGGATATAATAAATATGCAATGTAACTAAATTTCCACCATTCCCTTCTCATACCTAGATCTTAAATTTTTTTAAAACTAGTCTGCTCTATATAAAAGGATTTTATGTTTTCCCAATTTAAATGAAATTAGTGATTGCTCGATTATTTTTATTTATTTTTCATATAAATTTTTGAGGCGTTAAATGTATTATACCCAAAAGTACTAATCAAGCAAAACATAGAACTAACAATGCAAACACACAGAAATCATTAAGCTTCTCTCAGGGTATACACTGCTATTAGCAAATACTCCAAACTAAAGCCCATTTAATTTTCAGCTACTTTGCCACTATCCTCTTCCGGTAACAACTGCTGCTCTTCCTTGTCAATTTCTTCAATCTTAGTCTCCTTTGACTGAACTTGCTGGACATCTCCTGAGACATCCTGAAGCTGCAATGCATTCATTCATCTTAGCACATTTAATAATTGAAGTACAACGTAAATTGGGAAGAAATTTTCAAAAACAACCCCAGAAATTGCAGAATGAAATAAATCCTCCCAAAGACTTACCCCCAAGTTTCTTAAGCTAGCAGTAACATCCTCTTGTTGTTGCTGAAGGGTGGTCCTCAGATCTTGAAATTCCTAGTTTCAATTTTACAAACAAATATCATGCAACAAAATTAATTTGAAAGAGAGCACTTGAGGAAAAATCTAAAAGCACACTTACTGCTCGAAGTTGGTCTACTTCAACATTAAGTGTTTTCTTAAGTTCTGACAGCTCCTGCATAAACAAAAAAAGACCCATCAAGAGTTGCAAAAGTACAAATTTACCGCATGCATAAGAATGAAGCCACAGTAACATCCGAACCAGTTATAATTCAGCCACCATAATAACCAAAAACAAACAAGAAAGAAACGGGGAGGAACTATCTATTACTTTTCTCTTTATTATTAAGAGTTATGACCACATTATGAATGAAATATGCATCCTATCTGAACTGGGAAAAACAAGAATAAATATAAACCATGGCCATTGGAAGATCCTTTCATTTACGAAGGTAGCCAAAGCAAATATTTGGCATGTATATGCCCATCTATTAGCTTAATAATATATCATTACAGGTTTCTTGTCAGTTGTTCCACTCTGCGTGTTAAAGGTCAATAAATGGGTTTGTGTCCAACTAGATGTATTTAAAGGAGGGTAAAAATATTTTTGGTCCCTATACATTGCACTCATTTTTAATTTTTGTACCTAAATGAAAAAAAAAATTCAATTTACTCCTTACACATACAATTGTTTTCAACTATGTAGCATCGATACGACACGCAACAGGTGACGCGACACTTGACACAACACGACACTCCGACACGTCAATCCTAAAAAAATATGAATTTCGACACGTTGGGACACGTTTTAATATTAAATAATATTTTTAATTTATATAGCGTATATTTCATTTAATATTCAATAATTTAACAAAAAAATGAAACTAAATTAATAATACCCATCAACACGTTATAAAGGTGGAAGCTTTAATAAAAAAAACAAGAACTGGGATGAGAGAAAGAGATAATATCAAAGAGAGAGATCAAATCAGATTAGAGAGAGAGACATCAAAGAGAAGGAGATACAGCAAGAGTGTAATAAGAATTGACAACAATGGTGCCGAGATGATCTCTTATCTACTTAAGGGGAAAAAAGGCAACAAAAAAAAATGATATATATAATTAGGTGGAAGCTTTATTAATATATTTTAATTTTAAAAAAAAAAATTAAAAAAATATAATATTTTTACAAAAATGTCATTTGACCGTGTCGGAGCTTGTCGGACACAATCAAATTCGCGTGTCGAAATGGCCAACGTGTCAGGAATGTTGACCGCATGTCGGACACCGTGTTGAAACGTGGCGGACACAACACTCCGTGTTTTTTGGAGTGTCTATGCTTCCTTGGTTTTCAATGTCCTTGCCATCTGTAGCCATTAAAACACCATAGATGGCTATAGAGACCAAATCGAAAATAAATGGCAAGTATAAGTACCAAAAATATATTTTAACCCTTAAAGAAACTGTTCACTAACAAGGGCATCAACAAATCAGACAACGACAATATAATGTAAATAGTACTACATTTCCCCTCTGTTTTACACAATCAATAAAGAGAAATTTCCAGAACCAATTGCTAGCAAAGAATCACTAGCTAAGGTATACTTCAGATTAACAAAATCTCCTTGTAGGAATATGGATTATATCCTAAGGCTGTGTTTGGTACTGTATAAAATTGAATTGGATACAATAAGCTATCATATCTGGCCTCCTGAAATGTTTGGGGCAAACATTTATACTATAAACATAGGGAAAAACAAGTGTTGTTGCAGGAAGATTTTTATGTTATGCTATAGAGACATCGATCAGCGTGATTCCATTTTTTGTTTTTTGTTTTTTGTTTTTTTTTTTAAAACATGGGCCCAATCGTTAAATGTGTCTGCTAGAAAGAGAGGGAAAGTCCTGGTCCTGTTGCAGGACACTCATAAACCCCATAAACATATTCAGATTTTATCCTATATCTTGTATAACCCCATCCAGCTCACAAGAGTGAGATAAGGCAGGACATGATAAGCTAACCATCATTCTCACTATTGGGTTTAAGTTTAGGAAAACAACTTTTTGACTAAGTACATATTTATTTGTGCTACCATACCAATTTTTAAATAGCAGTGCACCAAGCATGGTATAGATAAGAGTTTATCGATCTTTTATCATATATATCCAGCCTTAACCTATCCTTTTATACTACCAAACGATGCCTACGTATTACTTCTCCATGTGCTTTATTAAGAAGGATATGATACCAGATACATGATCTACCCATCTCCATGATGCATGACCAGATATGCAGCTACGAGGATATGACACGAGATATGTAATGTACCCACCTCCATCATCAGATATGCAACTATTAGCCCTACCGCTCACAAGGAATCAGAAATCCTTACTTCCTCCTAGATTAAGTGCTTTTTACTATTCTCGGACTGTGGGTGCAAGAAAAGCGAGCACGTGATATCAGGCTTGACTTCATTTTTACACACTTGACCTGCATCCAATACCCTAGAGTTAGAAAAAGCACTTACGGTAGGAGGAAATAAGAACTTCTCCGTAAAAATAACTATTTTGAATGTACCATATTTGCTAGTAAAATCCTGTGGTATGGTTTCAAAGAGTAGGGATCAGGTCAATTTACACCTTTACTAGGGATAGGTTAAAGAAGACAGACTTGGTACCAGATCAACTTATAGCTTTGCTAGGGATTAGGTGAACTTATATGTGTATTCCTTTCCAAAGATTATGCATCCATTCAAATGCTTTTAGGAATTGCTCAAAGGATTGATCTGCTCATTCTCTGAGTATTTCAATTTATCTTACCCCTTCCCTTTACAATTTCATAAAAATTATACAATCTTGCCATCTTGATGAATCCTATTGTTATCAAAAGTATATCTTAGGCATGAGAAAGGTGAACGAAAAGCAATGTACACTTGAAGCAACTAAGAGGAGAAGATTGGCCTTCACAAAATGATGCAGAATGGAGAAGCATATCTACTTAAAATAATTATGATATTCAATGATTATTGTAGAGGCCAGAGGGCGAGCCACGCAACAAGTAATAAGGTTTCTCCTTTATGATCAGAAGGCCACTAGTTTGAGTCTAGGAAACAAACTCTTCGCAACAATATAAGAGTAATGTGCTATCGACCCTCACCCCAACCCTCGATTAAGATTCACGCTACCCACTGAAGGTGGATTGCTTCCTTCTGTTTAGATTATGTATGTGTGGGCCATGGATTGCGGCCCATTTCTCCCACTTACTTGCAAATGGGACCCATTTCCTTTATTTTCATGGGTGGACAATGCAAGTCTTCCTCCAAACCCAATACCCATTCCAGACCCAACTACGTTTCGGCCCAATACTCCACCAGTTCGGCCCAACCTTGCTTCCTTCTCCTCAACCCTCTGCTCCAGACGCATCATTTGCTCTAAATTAGCTGGACAATAGACTTTGGTTTTTGCAAGAATTTCTTCTTTCAACCCCATCGAAAATGCAGCTTGTACCATGTCTTCATCAGCTTCTTCTTCATCAATTTCTTTTTCTTCTTCTGCACCGTCGTCATCTTCTTCTATTTTCTGATCCGTGTCTTCTTCGTTGTTTGCTTCTTCATCTTTGATTTCCTTTGTTTCTTTTTGTTCAACTTCTTCTTCTACATTCTCTGCACTTTTATTTTTTTTCCTTCTTTTCTGTTCTTTGATCCTGCTACATCTTCCTTCTCTCTTTCTTCTTCTTTAATTTCTTCTTTTTCGATTTTTTGTTCGTGTTTTGCTTCTTCTTTCATTAAAGCTTCTCGCTTTTCTTCCCAAGCATCCATGATCCTTATCATCTTCCGCATCAATTCCATGACATCCTTCGTGCTGGCCTTCTTCAATGCTTCAAGATATCTGTTGGTTTTGTTCTCCATTTTTTATCTTTTTTACTTTGTCCTTTTTTTTTTCAGATCTGGACCAAAAGCACCCCTAGACCAGAAGTGCTCTGATACCAAATTGATGGAACCCAGAAAAATATATCACTGATTTCATTAACAATGGAGGTATAGCCTCTTTTTACATACACTATTACAAAGATAAAATGCTAAAAATAAATCCCAAAAGACCTCAACTCCCAGAGATCCCCAATTTTCTCCACTAATCAATTTTGAATTCATGCATAGCCTCACTTCCACACTCCCCTCCTTATATCCTATTATTTGAGAATATTCTAGAACAACTCCTTACTAACTAACTAATTATCTTAAGCCCATCACTAATTATCTCAGCCCATCATCCACGTCAGCACAAGCAGCAACATCTGCACTATCGACGTGATTTTCCCTTCTTGGCAGAATATCCTCTCCTAACAAATTTGGTGACTCAGCATGGCATGCTTTCCTCTATAACATTTCCTAGAATATACTTTTGGAGGCCTATCAGATTATTGTGATATTTTGGGATTATTATGTTATTGTAAGTAATTTTACGATTTTCCCTTATTTTAGAGATCCTTTATTATTTTTAGGGATTTCATCTTTAAAGAGTTGTATGTTTTTAAAAATATTATCATGTTAGGATTTCCTATTTGATTTGTGTAATTCAACTATTTCAACACAAAAGCTTAAACTGTTGGATGAAAGTCATATTAATGATTTTATATTATATTTCTTTAACATACCCCCTTACACAAGTGGTCATTGAGCTTGAAAGGTGGACAATGCACAAGCCCCCATTTATTTGTGCTAAAAAACTTCATAATATTGAAATATTTATCAATAGAATGAGTGGAAATAAGGATTGAACTTATGACCGCTTGGTCATAAAGGCTTTAATGCAATGTAACACAACCTATTTAACATACTAATGGTTTTATCTTATATTTACTTGAATTTAATAATAAGGATTTGTAATATTGAATTATGTAAAATCTATACAAGAGCTCTCTATATAAAGAGTACTGAAAGACCTAATGGGCTAAGCCCAAAATACGCTTCTAGAGTATTCTAGCTATTACAAATAAATAAATAAAATACTAATTCTAATATTTACAATACTCCCCCTCAAGCTGAGGAATAGATATTTATCATTCCCAGCTTGCTAGTAAGCTCTTGAAACCTATCATTAGGAAGACCCTTAGTCAAGACATCGACCAATTGACGACCAGAAGGGATATATGGAGTAGTAATCAGGCCACTATCGAGC